GTAAACACTTACTTCTGATCCTCCTGTTGTCATTTATCATGGACAATTTTGCCAAACGAATTGAGATGAAGTAGATGTAAAGTACCCTGCTCGTGTAAAACAGAACGTTAACATTGATATTCATAATGACCCGGCATATACTAGCATAAATCATGATAAGATACCCATTCAATTCACCTTATAAAATTACCAGGGAGAAGGAATTAATACACTTTTACAAAAAAATGAATCAATTTTATTATGAAACATTTTTTTACATTTATCTATGTTTTGTTTTAATTACATAACAGTGTTAATTACATTACAGTGCTGTTTATAAGAAATCGCGAATGATGCGATAATTGATCTATTTTTATAGCATGACCTTCGTGACCTACATATCGATCTAAAACAACAAGGTAATCTCTGTTTGTTTAAAAGAAATACGACCCTATTTTGCCTGTGTGATCGATATGGCGAAAATATTTATGAACATAATTTGAGAAGGAACTTAAATATTGTTTGCCGTTCTACAATTCAGTAAAAGTATAAAGTTCAATGCTAAAGTCCACGTACTATAATAACATGGCACCAACCCAAGGCCTGGCAATTAGGAGTCCAATCAGCTGATCTGAAGTGCCTTTCATCATACTCCTTTTGACGGTTTAAATTTCCGAATCAGCTGATTTTTTAAAAGTGAGAATGATCTATCAAAGTGTAATATATCATGTTTTTAGAACTAAGCTATTTTTCTTTATATTAACGTATATATTACATCATCACACGATATCCCATGACTTCATAAACATAGGAAATTAAAATAAAGACTTTGTGAATAAGTTCATTAGGCAACAATAATACTTTTTGATTCATTGTTTTTGTACGTATTGCAGAAAGTGTCAAAAACAATGAATTAAAGTATAAAATAAAAACAGCAATAAAAATATCTTATATACTAATCATTATCAAACCATATAAACACTTCATGAAGGTCAAAGGCCAACCATAGAAAACAGCTGTATAATCCACATAAAAATGTTATATTGAACAGCACTGGCCCTCGCGTTTTTCATTTTTCTTAAATGCATACGAATGAAAACAATGGAAAAACACAAATGCATGTGAATTCATTCAACACTGCCTTTCTGTATACTATGAACATTCAAGTATTTCAGACATCATTATCTAAAGAAATATTTAAAGTAAAAAGGTAATGATAATTTTTCATGGCAGTATTGACAACGATGGGTTACGTATGGAACAAATATTTGGTGAAAGTACGAGCGATGTTCAATAAATAACGGCAGAGATTATTCTGGCTATGCAACTGAAAATAAATTCTTGGTTGTATGATACCGCTGTTCTGTGTCTTTAGATGTTTCATAACTAGGAATACAGCACTGTGTTCACTACAATATCACCCCCTCCCTCCCAACCTCTCACATTACCAATAAACCATCTATGATTACTGTAATTAATCCTCTATTGTAATTTAAACTACCTAGAATGCCTATGGCGATTGGTAGTAGATATTTTGTGTATTTTTTTATTATGAAGGAAATAAATAATATGTTAAAAAAAACTACAATATCATGAGCATTTTTATTTGTAACAAACTCTCCATTAATTAGAGGTGCATAAATAATTAAAAAATAGTTGTATATAAAATTGGATCATGTATTGCCAAGGTATTGTGTGTATTTTTTGATTATGAAGGAAATAAATAATATGTTAAAAAAATAAAAATTGCCAAGGCAGAATGACGTACACGTGTTGTTGTAGGTTAATTCATATCATAAGGACAACCCTATGTCAAATATAATAGTTATTGCGATATTACAGCATATAGCAAAGCAGGGGTCATATCATATATGAGATCGTTGATCAAAATAAATTTCAGTTAAATAAGTCTTATATAATATTAAACAATGCTAGAAATATGATGTTGTAAAAAACTGCTTCACTTACCCAAAGTATGTCTTGTTTGCCAAAAGCGATTTTCAAAAATAACCTGCTGCGCTAATATTTTAGTTTTAGTCGATATTCGATAATAATCTCATTTTGCAACGAAACTGGAGTATTTTGCATATAAATCAAAAACCTGGCCCCTGGATTTGAGCTGCGATAAAGCACACTGTTCGAGATGTCCTCTTGTTTTTGAATCACTTAAATATTATTAAATATCAGTTCAAAGTGTAAAATCTGAACAGAAACCCAATCTACCATTGGTTAACAGAGATAGTTGGGTACAAATTGTTATAGCATGATTAGCATACAATGTTAACTATAGCAGGTTTCGAGCTATCAAATTCCAGTACAAGATACACTTGTTATGTTAAGTTATCTCATTTAATATTTCAACTTGTTTATGGCAATTCATTTGATAATTAATCCCCCTGAATATATGATATAAGACATTTAAGTTTGATGCCACTTATAATTTGGATTACATACATGTATAGAAATATTACGAAAATATGTTTCTGCGTTTGATAGAAGAAGAAGCGCTACGGGGAGAACAAAATGAAACACAATTTAATAAATCCATTGCAAATAGAGACAACAATTTGTAAAACATGCAGAGTATTTATATCATATATGTCACTGATATTGTGTAAATAGTACAATTTATTTAATGCTAATGACATTTTCTTCTTTAAACAGATAATATGATCTACCTGAATCACACGCAAGGTTCTATAGTTCACCCTGGTGGTTGTATCTCGGGATTAAATTCAATGTCGGTAAACTTTGGCTGTCATTGACCATGAGTTTAAAGCCCGGATCGTATCTCTAAATACGATTATAAATAGACAAGTATTAAATAAATAATGAACGAACAACCAACTTGCATACTTTCAGTAAATCATTCACCCAAGCGCGATTGTGTAATAGTATGTGGACTCACATTTTATCTGGGTATACGATGGATGCGATTTCCTGTTGTTTCTTAATTGTATTACAATCACTATTAAGGTGAAGATGAACTTAATGACTTATTCCATAAAACTACTGTTTTCCCAGGGAAATATGAAGGAATTAAAATCGTATTGAATCGTATTACATGAAAAAATCCCGGTTATTTTCATTATCCAAATGTAACATTTCAAAGGGATGTATTATGGAATAAATAGGTTATTTCTGGTCGGGACTGAATATGGGTTTTATTCCTCGGAAAATATGATATTGACCTTGGGCAATATCATATTGACACTCGGTCGCTGCGCTCCCTCGGTCAATATCATATAACCCTTCGGTCAATATCATAGTGTCCCTCGGAATAAAACCCATATTCAATCCTTCCCAGTAAATAACCTATATTATATTCCGCAAGGTGAGCACGACGTGATACAGTCAATGAATTGATTTGATTGGTCGTGAGAATCCACTCCAAATGAGAAACTATCATTGGTCCCCTTTATATTCCTCGATGGTCTTTGAATGTGATATTTGTTCATAAATGGTGGTGGCATTATATATTGTGTCTTTATGCCATGGTCAGAGCAATATAAGGTATATGATAGCAAATGATATATCACATATTTGGGATAGGGATGATTTTGGGATTAGAGGGCTCGATGATATCAGGGATGAGATGGATATCAACCTGGGTATATTCCACAATTTCACATGTTTTTCAATTTTTAAAAAAATTTCAGTTTTGAAAAATTCTCATATTTTCAACCATTTTTATTCACCTGTCGGGATGATATGAGGAATATTCCTCGGATGATAATATTTCCCTCTGCTACTGCGTTCCATCGGGAAATATTGATATTATCCTTTCAATAATCCCCATATCAAATCCCTCCTGGTGAATAACTTCTTTTTACACGTTACAGATTATATTCCTGGATATTTGGGGTTTGCTTTTTGTGCGTTTAGATATTTCATTTTCATGCACTATTTTGTAACATTCTTTTGCTTTTTTCCTTTGACACCTGTGCCTACATAATTTGGGTTATTAAGGAGAAAGGGCTTTAAGCCGTTAAATATATCGACATTATTTAAGCTCATCTACCAGTACTTCGATATAAGCGAAGCATTTGATCGAGTTGCCAATCTGTTCATTAGTATACGATGGTTCATCATAAATATCTCATTATATCTAATTTCTCGATGTATTCAAATGAAATTTCCACAGATTGTGCAGGAGTCAGTGACTTGTCTATTCTGCAAAAACTGTTTCATCTTCTCAGGGGATCCATTTTAAGTCCTTGCCTTTCCACACGTAATATCATTCAGGCAATGGATTAATAAAGATGTCTCTCTGTCTCTTATGATTTTGGAAGGGGATGGCGAAGTATCATGAAGTGACATCTTTTTAAAACAGTATAAATCATTTGTTCAAAACATGGATCATTTAGTGTACATGGTGCCAGATATATTGCAACACAGACATAATGGAAAAAATATGATATTATATTCGTGAATGTGTTTGTAGGGAGGTTAAGTTACACGTTTACGTGTACGTGAGCGTGTAATATTTCGACCCATGAGGTTACTGTCCCGTTCATAATGTTTTGTTAAGACCGAGCTCTCAAGTTACCTCCCAAGAGAACTAATTGCAATTATTATATACTTTTAAACTTAATACTTAATCGGCCAAGTAAACATGTACAGTACAAATTGGAGAACTAATCCATAGATGACCATAATGCTGCACCGTCACGTACATGTTTCTAAAAAACGTTAAACTCAACCTCCCCATGATACGCGTTAAATGCAGGAAGCATCTAGGTCATACGCTAAATTACTGTTTTACAAACAGCAAGTCACTTTAAACGTATATGAAAGGAAATCATATATGATTCAAATAATGTCGAACACAGAAATCAGAAAATTATATTTTTGACGTTTTTGGAAGTAACACTGCACAAGGTTGCATACCTAGACGTAAAACGTTGGTGATATGAATTAAACATTTGTTGAAACTACGTATATGAATTTGCATACGTGGTTGTTTCGCGCATTGGACCCTCTGTTGACGTCTGTAGTAATAACATAACATTATAAAACACTTTTAATGGGTAACTATATGTTTTAAATATTCTATTCTTGTACTGATTGCTAAATATGATTTCATAAACATAAAATATAAAATATATTGAGCGCATCTATGCTTCTTCTATTTATAAAAATGAATGATAATGATATGCAATTATGGAATGTCTTTTCGTTTTATCCATATTTCAGCTTGTTTCCAAACATCGTCTTGTTTTGAGATCACGTCCTTTTTCGAGATCTCGTCTTGTTTCAGAATCTCGTTTTGTTCCAAATTCTCGTCGTGTTTCCAAATCTCGTCTTGGTCAACGAGCAATGCTTCTTTTGCGGGAATATCAAACAAAGAAGAGTTGAGCGACTCAGACGTCCATGAATGGCGAAGTTTATTTCTACGACTAAGTATTGGTTTCAAAAGTACACTCAAAATACCAGCAGATGCAAACATAATTCCTGAAGCCACCAACGGGGAGGTGTAGGATTGGCCTATGTCGTACATTATACCTGCAATCAAAACAGATTTCATTGTTCTAATTATAAATTTTAATAGGCTATTCACACGTCCGTCTATGTTTTGGCTCCTCAGATGGCGATTAATATCATTTACAAAGGGAAATGGGATAAGATAGAATACAGAAAAGATCTCATAACGACGAAAGAAGACGACTACAAACCTGCTATGGGTGGGCCTATTGAGAAAGCAATCCCCTGGAACATGGCCAGTAGACCAAAAGCACTTGTTAATTGTTCAATGCCTAGTAATTCAACCAGTATTATAGGCCTTAAGGACACCCAGGTTGCTAAAACGATAATATCATAGACAATATAAAGACAGCGGCAGGGAGGTTTAAAAATTAAATTATTTAACGAAAAATTACTTTGATTAATATCGTTTAATGTGATTTTTAGGAGCACTTTTTTAAATCATGTCCCCTGCAACTTTCGATCTCCAGATACCGATAACCATACAAATATATTATTTGATACCTACACATGCATAGGCCAAATATGCTGGCATACGTCAACATGTACCAATAGCTTGGAAGGAACGGCAGCACCATAGTAGCAGATCCAGCAATTAAAAGAGCCAGTGCGTTGAGAATAATACAGTTTACGTAGTCCCTATCTGCGAACCATCCAATGAATATCCTTCCAACAGTGTTTGTGATACCGATCACAGATATCAACATGGCTGCCTGGGACTTCGACATACCAGATGACAAGGCATAGTCGGGAATATATGTGATGATTGTTGAATGACCTAAGAAACAAAATAATAGTCATGTAATTGCATGTGTGTCCTTTATATAAGTATACAAACAGGACATAACTATTTGAAATCAAAGAAACAGTATATACATATTTGGAATCATTTAAACAATTTGAATGAGTGGGAGTAGGATAGTTTTCAAACAAATCGTTACTGTCAATATAATGGTGTACTTGGAAAGCGCCCTCATCAAATAAAATATTCGGTTTTAGTACTGGTTCAACATCGGAAACATGTAAAATACACGATTGATGATATGCAGCGTTGAGCTTACTTGTCCAGAGTACGCAGGGAAGCATATACATGACAAACAGCGGGTCCCTCAGTAGAGGCTGATGGAAGATTCGTTTCATTTTTCGCCAGAACTTTGATCTGATGCTCTCTGTACTGTCGCCGCTATCACTGGTCGGTAGACTTAGCATGCTCTTAATATAAGATTTACTGCTTGGACTGTTGACGTACTCCGGAAGGTGGGTAAGACTTCCGCTGTAAAATACGTCCTTCCTGTACAGGGGATTCTGGAGGATGTCGTCATCTGGTTTGTTTGTTTTAACGTCATGGTGTTCTGAGGCCTTTGGCTGGCGATACTGCTTCACGTTGTGGAGGCCGTTTTCTAGTGATCTGTACACGTTTGTTTTATCTTGGCTGCCGAACTGTTGTTTTAAAAGAGTCGATTTTAAGAGATTTCCAAAGCCCGTGTGGTTATTCTGTGGTATGGTTGACAATGAATGGACATACAATGGCGACTTTATATCTACGTTGAGGTGAGATTCATGTGTAGTTTTGTTTTCATTCAATTGTTTTTGTATAGCCGGAAACACAGCCATGTTCAATTGACGTTTTGGTACACTTTGAAGCAAATCTGGAAGTGGTTCAATTGGCTGTTCATTTTCAATAAGAGAAACCCTCTTCTCATCATCGATCAGATCATCTGTCTTGTCAGCCTTTCTTTTCGACCTAATGGGTTCAATTGGGCGGAATACTGCCCCACATAGCAGCGTATTCATAACAACAGCGGATAATATCAACATCGTCCCTCTCCACGTATACGAGTTTATTAGCCCTTCTATCAGGGGACTAAAGACAAATGTTCCTATTCCAGATCCGCTACTCGCAATACCGTTTGCCAGAGCTCGCTTCTTCTCAAAGTAGAAGCCAACAGCAAGTACGGCTGGAAGGTAGATCATACTAATCCCCAGGCCTGGAAAATGAATATTAAATGATTGTATATAAAAAATTTGTTCTGCATTGGTCGATTGTCAATTGTTGTCAAGATAAGACTCTGTGACACAGTATACAAATAGTGACTGCCATTGAGGGCAATAGTGTAAATTATTTCCCCGAGGGAATATCCGCAGGCTTCGGGAATAGTACATTGTAGAGGAAATTCCCAAGGGGAAATCATTTACACTATTGCTCGAAATTAGGCAGTCACTATTTGTTTTATTATATACCCTATACTGACTCTTGTCCCGTTTCCTCTGCGAAGGCCAAAAAGGCTTAAGCCCGGTATACACCACTGGGGCAAGTTGGGACCTCCATAGACTTAACATTGCGTGGGACCTCGTGGGACCTTTTGGGATTTTGCCCCATGAAGTCCGTGGGACTCCATGGGACTCCGTGGGATTTTGCCCCATCTTGCCCCATCGAGTCCCACGAGGTCCCATGAGGTCCCATGAAGTCCCACGTGGGACTCGGTGGGACTCGATGGGGCAAGATGGGGCAAAATCCCACGAAGTCCCATGGAGTCCCATCGAGAATGAACATGTTCATTCTTTCCATGGGGCATCGTGGGATTTTCGATCATATGACGTGTTGTGTGAAGCCCGACATACACCAATGGGGCACGGTGTGATTTGATGGGACTCCATGGGGCTTGATGGGACTCCATGGGGCACGATGGGGCAAAGTCATCAAGGTCCCATGGGACTTCGTGGGATTCGATGGGGCAAATTGGGATTCGATGGGGCAAGATGGGACTCGATGGGGCAAGTGGGATTTTGCCCCATTGGTGTATTCCGGGCTTTAGAAAGACCCCTCCCCGGGTCCATTGTTAGCATTATAAGCTGTGACGTCATCAGATGCTCAACAGAAATTTTTGCCTCTGAGACTCTCACTTGACAAATTCAATCGCGTTTAACACGCGGAATAGATTATCATAACACTTGAAATTACACAGACGTATTGAGCTTAGGGAACTTTATACACGTTGCTTATATTGTATCGTTCACGCACGTCTGTCATGGTGAACGGAGTTGATTTGTGTTTGTGCTCATCCTCCATTTTTCTGTTTTTCGTCTGCGCAGTGATGATGCGCAGACGTTTCCAAGGGTAATAGAAGTTGCAATTGTGACGTCAGCGGGCAATAGTTCAAATGTATATTCCCGCTGACGTCACATTTGAGGGAATATAACTTTCCGAGGGAAATAGTAAATCTATTTCGGAACACGTGACTAGGTATTGACCAATCAGGATTAGTGTTACATATTGGGTATATAATAAAATGATATATTATAAATGAATACAAAGTGCACCGACATTAGACATTGAATTCTGAAACAGCTCCAATTGATTTTCTTAATTATATATGTATGGACACTATTAAATATGTCCTGGACTGACCACCGATTATACAAATGAGCAAAAGTAAGGGATATAGTGAAGCCTTCTGTTTATCTGTCTATACTACATCGATGCAGTTTTATGATTAATTGCAATTGGCTGTCCTTAAATTGCATGAATACAGAAGTATCACACGTCCTTCTTTTTAATAACTTCCTTCAAAGTATATTGATTAAACGGCAATCAATGTGCACAAAATTACAAGAAAGTTAATTCATGAGAACAAATTTTTTTGCTGTTTAACTTTTCAATTATTTTCAATTCCCTCACCTCCAATGACCCCATATGATATTATGAGGAAGTCAACTGAAGGGGCGAATGAACTGCTTAGCAAACTGGCTGACGTCACCAGACCACCTGCTATGGTAACACGTCGAATACCATACTTATTTACCAATCCGCTTACCAGAGGACCTAAAATATAAAACATAAATCTAAAATTCTAGAATATGAAAATATGAATATATTTACCATAACCGAGAAGGAATTTATAACTATTTTGTGCAAGAACTGTTTAGTGTTAAGAATAGTGAGAAAAGCTCTCAATTAGATATTATTGAAGCCTTATATTCTTTCTGTTAATGTCATATTAGACTAATTTTCAAGAATTTTTAAAATAATTATTTCTTGGTCAATTTGTTTTAAAAAGAGTGACACCATACAAATTAGTAATTAAATCACCGATAATGGTCGTTGGCCAGTCGTATTATGGTTCTGTTCTGTATCTATGTGCAAAATACAAAAACAGCGAATTATTATCATGGTAGATTAACAAAATAAAAGTCATTGTATTTGATACACCAAAATCACAGGGGATGTGTGATTTTGTAAACCACGTCATCATTTTATGTGTACACGTAATTATGTCAACTGCGGCATTATTAACAAAAAGCAAAGTGTTTCTGGAGCAATGACTGTTATTTTGTTAAGATTGCTGGGGGTACAGAATAAGTCATAGCCCATACCCATCAGAATATTGAAGAGTACTAGAGTTCATATATGTAATTGTAGGAAAGCAAGGGAAGTCGTGTAAAGAAGAATTACTTAACTACGCTGGGGGTCTTAGATATATTAATTTTCGGGGTTTTAATTGTCATTGGGATATTTATAAGATCATTGGAGATCATTGGCTTGATACAGAATGTATGAAGGTTCCTGAAAACTAGGGCAAAATTACACAATTCCTTGCTCTTCTCGTTTCATTATCAGAAATGAGTAACATCCAATGTGAACTGACTAAATGCAAAATAGACAGTTATTTTGATTCACAAAACCTGCATATAACCATCGCATTCCCAAAGTTGCCATAGTTTAAAATGATGGCATTTACAATGGACTTTTTCAAAGTTTTGGCAATAATTTCTAAACATTAATGTTTGTACAGATCTGTTTAAATTGTTGTATCTTTGACCAGAGAACGATTGTTTTAACATTTTGAGAGTGCGAAGGTCCATTAGTATAGTAGCCTACATGCATTGAGCCAGTATCTGTTCTGACGTCACTCATACTGTCTCATTCTGACGAATATTTCTAAAATATACAATTCTATATAAAACTAACTTGGTTCATGAGACATCGGCAAACATTAGAAATTTAAGCGAAATCTAAATATCTTGCTGAAAGTTGTGAAATTTGCCAAAAATCTGCCACCACGTGACTTTGCCAAAATCTAATTTAGGGGTAATTATACCGATATGTTATACAATCAATTTCTCCAAGCCTACTTAACAAGTATCTTGTTTAATAATTTTAATTCTGGATACATCTTGTGAATCCCAGTTAGTTTTATTCATATCCGCATTAGTCTTATTATTTGACAAAATTAACAAAATTCGAGTTGACACACACACATTAATACAATGACACAAACGTGTACAAGTTGTCCCAATGTTGTCAAAAATGGCTGCCTTAACATTTACCCAGAATGCCCCAAACTAGAAAGTTCGAGATTTGCATACCCAGAATGGCCGATAATGAAAAACAGCTGTTATAAGTTTTTCCAGATTTTTTACAAAAACATCTCATATAATTACTGTTAACAGTGACATTGGTTTTACAGGACACCTGGAATTATTTATAAATAGTTTAATTTTGAAAACTTAATATGATAGTATTATCGCTCGCTGACTTTTCTTAAGGCATTCAAAATGGCTGCCATGACCGAGGCAACATGTCCAAAATTTAATCAGATGTAGAGTGAAGTGAGTTAAAGAAGTGATTGAGTTAAAGTTTTAAAACTAACTATGACGCCGTTTTTCTTACAGTTTCAAGAGAAGTATTTTAGCATTCTAGCCGACAGGAAGTACTTCGACCGTGTTCTACCGCATCTGTATGTACTCAAAAGTTACCGATGTTAATTTGAAGCTGATATCTGCAGCAGTTTTGGAGAAAACTGTCGGACGTACGGACATATTGACAGAAGCGCATACGACGACAATATGGCCCCACACTTGGTGGAGGGGACATAGCAAACAATCACACACATGGTTTTATCCGTCACGAGTTAATCATTGTCACAGATACTCACAATTGAGTTAACCATTGACATAGACGAATACAACATTGTCCTGGGGGAATATCTGAAAAAAATAATTAAAATATATTCCACATATTCCAAACTTATTAACAAAAAGGAAACATCGAACGATTCCGACGAATGTGTTCTCATAAACATTTCCTTAAAATATAAAAAGAATACTCTAAAATAAAAAAACATGTCCCTAAAATATAAAAACAAGTCCCTTGAGAAAACGCACGGTCCCTGAAATAAGAGAAATATTCCATAAGATCAGTGGTTATATTGAAGTTGTTTTAGCTAATATTTCCAAGATTAGCTGTTAGTGAAAAGTATGAAATAAAAGCAAGTGTCCCAACCCTATTATTTTATGTTTAACTTAAGACTATTATGAAAAGTGGATGTACACCTTGTGCATGTTAAACTCGTGCAATGATCTACTCGTACCTGCTATAAGGTGCATTCCTTGTATCATAGAGCCCACTAGTGCTGTCTTCCCGGTGCCCTCCTTGAAGTACATTAACAGCTCCATGAAGAACACTCCGAACGAGAACAGCAAGCCATCGAGAATTAACATGGCCAGGAATGAGCCAAAACAGACCACCCAACCCCATCCGCCATCTGGAGGAATCGGGAGACCACTTCCTATACTACTCTTAGAGCTAACACTATCGGTTCTTTCGTAATCTTTCGATGCGTCTTTTAATGAGTTCTGTGATTTGGGCGGCATGGTCTCGTCTTTCGCTGATACTGTATGCGGTACATCATCATGCGCCATTGTAACCTGCATCAAAGGATGAAGGTAACCTTCAGTATAAAATGCAAAAATGTCACTCTTACTTTTTTATTTTATGATTATTTAGAGGTCGAGAGTTCATGATGATATCAATTGGCTAACTCAAGGGAACGTAATACAACTCAAAAGAGCATGGGAAAACACTGTTAATAAATGTTTTCATCTTGGTTTGCCGCCATATACCGATTAAAATCTTGTCATGTTTTGCCCAGTTGTTTTAGATCCAACTTAGATTTTCAGTTATTGAATGATTTGAAGTGCAATACATATTCTGCTCAAGACATTCGTATTGGTACGAGACCAAAGTCGAGTGCCAATACAGAATGTAGAGAGCAGAATATGTCCTGTATTGCATTTCATATCATTCTATAACGTTTTTATCGTGTGATCTTAGGCGCAATCCCGAGAACTAGTTTGTATTTTCTTGCTACTGAGATTTTCTTCTCCGTACCAATATTTTCTGTATTGCTACGGAGATGTTCAATGGGGACAACCTCAGTAGCAATACAGATTGGTAGAGCACAAGAACTGACCAATCAGAGGGCTTCATTTTACAGATCATACGATAAAACTATGTATATAGCGTCTTGTTGCACTTACGATATGCAAATAAATTATTAGAGTATAAGATTTTGTTGTTTACTAACTCATTCTTCGGCTGATGTTGTGCCCACATTTACCAGAAAGTGTTAACCATTTGTATTTCTCATAAAATATGAATGCCATATAAATTATCATATTTCAAATCAAAACCCATAACGGGTACGCATTAAGAGTAGACCGTTCTTTATAGTATGTACGTATTTTCAGGTGTTAGCCATTTCTTTGAATTTGTACAGTGTGATTAGATAAATCAACAGGCAGTCAACCTTTAAAGAGCATAAATATCTTTACTTTGCTAGGTATCATGAATACATGCATGTAGTGGTTTTCTCTTGTTTAAAGTTCTGAAAGTTTTTATGACTTATAAACTGAGGTACAACCCAAAACCACCGCCGGCCAACTTTGTTCTCACATCTTAAATTAATTTTTTTTTAAATTCCATCCATTTATTTATTTCATTTAGTTATTCTACTGCGACTCTCAAAACACAATAAAACAATTTGCAACACTCAAGGCATAAGCGAAAAATTAGGAAAAATTCGGATAAAAAAACTCCCATAAAACAAAACATGTTTTTATAAATACCAGCCTTTTGAAAGATATAACTCATTTTTCCATAGGTATCAGCATATAAAATTTGAATCAAATCCATCCGCTTGTATTTGAGTTATCAAAGATTATGTTTTAAGGAAATTTGCAGCCATTTTGAAATTTAGTGGCCATCTTAACATTTTTTCTTGAGCAAAGCTCAATTTGTCCCTATGCATCGGCATATAAGATTTCAATCTGAGTTATCAACGATTACATTTTATGTGAAAAATGGCGGCCATTTCACACTTTGCATTCGTTCTACTGTGCTTCTTAAAGAGACTAGACTCTGCGCGCAGGTTACGGCCATTTTGAATTGAGAGAGCATATTGAAAATTCCCTTTCAAGTAGAGGGAGAGACAAAAATGATGGCTATTTTTAAATCCAGCTGTCAACATTTTATCAAAAACTTTTCCCCAAGCAGCGCTCTTGTGGATCCACGTATATAGATTTTGATTATGATCCGTCCACTGGTATTCAAGTTATCAAAGAATACGTTTTTCACCAAAAATGACAGTTATTTGAAATTAAGTGGCCATCTTGATCTTGAAAAAATGTCTTCTTGGTCAGACTTCTTTTGCTCTAGCCATCTGCATATTAGATTTAAACAAAATCCGTCCACTTGTATTTGAATTATCAAAGATTACATTTTTTATGAAAATGGCGGCCATTTTGACATTTTAGCTGCCATCTTGAAAACTCCTTCTCGAGCAGAACTCCTGTGTTCATAGACATCAGCATATAAAATTTGAACCAAATCCACCCACTGGCATTTGAGTTATCAACGATTACGCTTTTTTACAAAAGTGGCAGCCATCTTGAAAAACATTTTGGGCAAAGCTCCTTTGTCCCTAGGCATGGGCATATAAAATTTGAATCAAATTCGTCAATGTTTATGTTTTTAGGAAAACAAAGATTCATTGTCCCTAGGCATCGGCATATTCAATTTGAATCAAATCCGTCAACTATTCTAGTATCTTAGTTATCAAAGATTACATTTTTACGAAAAATGGCGGCCATTTCACCCTTTGCATTCGTTCGACTTTGCTTTTTTTAAAGAGACGAGATTCTGCGCGCAGGTTACGGCCATTTTGAATTGAGGGAGCATATTGAAAATTCTTTTCAAGGAGAAAGCCTAGATCAATAAGGCACATGCCTTTAAAATTTGAACCCAATCCACCAACTAGTGTTTTAGTTATTATCCTGACAGACGAACGAACGGACACACGGACGGACGGATGTAAAAATGGCTTCTTTATATCAGTAAACTAAGAATTTTATATTCGTTCTTACTGATATGTGCCGTCTGTTATAATCGTTTGATCCCAGATGTAAGCTTAAGGGATAACGTTATGTTCGTACTAATCAATTTCTAGAACGGATTCTCTGCCCGGTAAGTCTTATAAAGTGTAAGCTGGTTTAAGGTGGAGCACCTTTACAACTGGAACACATCTGTTAGTGAAACACCTTTCAAAGTCCAAATATCAAATAACCTAACGTTAAATGAACCTCTATAAGTGGAACAACTCCTAAATGGAACACTTTTTAGAGGTACCAAAGGTGTTCCACTTAGACAAGTTTTACTGTATTTTGAATATGGACGTCCCATGGTTTCGATGGAATTGAAAGTAACGTTTCCGTAATATACATTCTTTTTTAAGTTAAATACATGTTGGTATATGTTGGTCCCTCCAATAACTAACGGTTTGGATCTGATGCAATAAATAATACATGCATTCTAATCATTCACATTGTGATCAGCTGATACAAAATCAACATTTGACTTCAACATGTTCCTCTGCCCTTTGACGAGCCATTTAGAGATAACATTCTACTTCACCTGGGTCACCGAGGATAAATCATTTCTAATCTAGTCTATATTTCAATTTCATTGTAAAGTAAAGCATGTCAACATATTGTTCCAAGGTAATAGGTGTAAAATATGTCCGCACCCCTCAGATCAAATATTCCTGCCAACACATCACCGGCGGCATTTCCAACTCTAAATATCGCGGACACTGAATTGAAGAAACATTTTAACATTAAAAAACGCAATTATTTTTGGTCTATGCGTTAGTTATTTTTGCGACCTGTTTTACTCTTTCGAGTCCCACCCATTTTGAATGATGCTACACGTTTGCAATTCCTCTTGCTATATTTGTGACAACTACTATATATATTTTAATCATTAATTAATTTTTTAATTAAACATTTATTATTCAAAGAAAGGTTTTCCGCATAACAAAAATATAAATTTGTTACACATAGATTATTATAAACACTAGATAACTTTATCATCTAGCTTCAGCCCGCAATGAAACAGAGGAGCGTGAAAAACAATTCATTTGATATAGCCCTCATATTAGAAATTATTTTTTCAGCAAACACATTATTTGCTTGAAGTTACACGTGACTTGTGTCACAAACATGTCAGTTGGTTCATACTCACCAAATGCTGACGATTTGAAGGTCCCACAATTCTATATTTTTTCTTTTTCTTGTGGTACCATTTTTGATTTGTCTGTTTTTCCTGAAGAATAAATATATTTTTATAAATTAATTTAATCGCGACTCTCTCTCTCTCTCTCTCTCTCTCTCTTCTGTCCAGTCGCCTTTCAGTGCATGCAGTGGCCTTGACAGCTTTTCGCTTCTTGCTTTGGACTTTGAGTCTTTGAGCCTATGCAGTGACTACATTGAGACCTATTATATACAATTTGAGTTCAAATTCCCGTATTGTTATCTTGTAAAATACCCGAAGAACATTAGAACTGGCTGAGTCAGTGCTGATTGGCAAGTAATGTCTCGTATAGTTATTGTACTTTAGTTTAAGTGGCCATGTAAAAATGTGCCCAATTTAACCCAGATAATGTTCAACGCACGCCGCTCCATTTCCCACACGATTGATTAACAAAAACTGCTCAAATAATCATTTTTCCCGATTAATGCATGAAAAATCTAAAAGTAATGATTTCAACTGAGATTGTTGTACCACTTCGCAATTTTATTTTTCCAGTAAGATGATAAGCATAAATTGACACTGAGCATAGTGGCTTGCTTTATCAACTGTTTCATATATGTGAACTATACGGGCTCTTAATTTCATCGAATTGATACTATCTAATATAAAATATTTGTATATGTATCTTTTTTTGGACAGACTTGGAGAGCATGACCCACTGTTCTCAATTTTCATGATGGACTACGGTGAAAAGGGAAGCGAGTCGTGTCCGCTGCCGTGCCTTCGATATCACTGATCACCGTACTCTCCTCGTCATAAGCCTTTACTTGGTAATCGGCAGAACAAACTTTGATTAATGATCAAAGAGGAAACTTTTAATTATCATATGGAGAAGAGTTTATGTACATGTATGTATATATTCACGTAGTTTATCTACAAAAAGTTGATGTTTCACATTCGTTTTGGCTAAACAATTATGCGAAAGGTGCTCAGAGTTATGAAAAACTGCTTGGTTCTGAAAGAATGTCTGAATGGGGGGGGGGGGGGGGGGGGCGAAAACTCTCCCAGCTCTTCCATTGTCTATGTAAATACATTCGAATGATATTTATTGTATTTATAAACAAGTACACATTGTCTTAAATGGTCCTCGTGTAGCTAGCTGATATCGGCAAAAACATTTTGTCTTTAAAAGCCCAATAAAAACACTCAAGAGACGTTAGCTTATAGCCCAGAACCCTCTTTAGCGAATACTGCATACACAAATAGAGGAGATGCATTATGATAAATAATGTTGATTTACAATGAACGAGAGATGCCCTGTTCGTTTGTTGTTTTGATTTTATGTGATACCAGAAGCCACTGACATCAACCCATCCCAAGTTCTGTTTGTTGTATGATTGATTGATCTCCTCCTAGTTATTGAACTTTTCTAATTAAGGTGGGCAGCTCTGATAGATTAACACGATCTAAGGTCAAGGTCAGATCTAAAAGGTCAAGGTCAACTAAAAGGTCGAGAATCAATTATCTGAGTGCTTAATGCAAGTTCTAGTTCTCGGATATCATTGGCAGGTCACGCCAAATACCTGAATACGCCATTATTGCATTAGTTAAATAAACTTGATAATGTTATATAATTATGCTACCGGTTTCATGCAAGTATTTACATCCAAGTCATTTGGTCCATGAACTATCACATAACGGAAGATGATCCCGCCTATCAAGAGGCTAATTATTAATACACATCAGAGTTAATATATGATATATGAGGCATGATAAATGGATCTTTCGAGAGGAGTCCTCGGTATTATACAGTGCTACAATCAGATAATATACCAAGGAGACATTATTGAAATTCTTGCGCTTGTGGAAAAATAAATTTGAGGGGGGGGACTATTTTCTTCTCAGGAAAACTACCTGTTCCGATGCCTCAGTAATACAGTACCCCATGTAATAAGATCTTGCCGAAATACAGTTTGGCGTTTGATGAATGGGAAATTTGCGATAAAAATAACAATGTCGATGCAACACTCTGTGAAACTAAATGAGTGGAGTTTGTACCTTTGAAATAGAAACTATGATCATTCATCACGCACTCCATCTAGCAGTAAATATAAAAATGGTACACAATTACAAACATGGTAAACGAAGTCCCAGCAAGTCCTTCAAAAACATTCATTTTGACCACACATATCACAATCATTAAACGCCAAATTTTAATATTATATTTTGATATATCTCATCATATCGATGGGAGGGAGCAATGTCCGAAACTCCCAATCATGCAAAGAAATTGTAAGCCTTGCACAAAATACGATCCAAGTAGGACTACACAATTGAATTGACGAGAGCAGTCAATATTTGTCCTAGTATTAAGTTCAGTTATTTGCATGCTATAAAGTAATATACATAAAAACCTACACATAGCTTTAGCATTATGCAATCTATTGTACTATCTACTTTTACTATGACAACAAATTATGTTGATAGTCAATATTCATCCTAGTACTACAGGGGCTCTAATGCGCATGCGTAGACTTGAAAACAGGAAGCCTTGAACAGCTGATATGAACAATTTCAAGATATTGCAAAGGTCATCTTTGTTTGTTTATTATGATTATGTGCGGTACTCGGTACATAATATTATATCAATTAACCTTGCTTTTATATGCTAAAGTTGACCTGACTTTGGCAAAACACTTTTAAATAACGTGTTGTCATTATAAAAACATCACCAAATGTCAAAGTGCTCATAATAGCATTCATAACATAGCTAAATAAATTACTAGTTCAATTCTAAATAAAACTAAAGATACATTGTAGCAACTAACAAATTTTAACGATGATTAACTTACCGATTTAGTCAATGCTGGAAACAGATTTTATATGCGATTATAATCGGCATTCATGATATACCTAGGTGTCGAGATGCAACTTAGAAATAAAAGACGCAGTTGCAAAGATACGCCTCCGTATGTTAAGTGTTCCAAGCTTACACGTATTATTGCATCGATCGTAAAGAAATTCACTGTTTGGCGCATATATAATGTTCATCTGTTCACAGAAAAGCCTGGAACGTTTATAAATTAAAAGGCAATATCATTGCAAAATCTAGCTGTAAACGTTAACATATTAACACTGACTAGTGACTACGCAATAGTTTACATTCGAACTCTCCTGTTAACGCTTAGTGGTAAGGCGAAGCAGTTTAAACCAGTTGTGTTCAGATATTAGTAGAAAAGATAATTAAGTTCAGCGTTGGCGTTCAATACGTTCAATAATGCAGATAGCAAGTTAGCAACCGGTACCATTTACGATCATGGATTCATAACGGTACACAATTAGAATATGCATCGATATTATCATTAATAGTACATGTATATTTTTCTTCAATATTCAATTTGATATGGTAATGCGTTTAAGTATGTGTTGACTCTCAAGATAATCAAAAATGACAACATAATTTAATAGTGTTGATAAAATGGTAGCATTTCAGTCCGTGGCAGTGAAATGGTGAAAATATAGTCATACTTTTAGACGGAAAACTTTTGTTTATTTTACGTTGGTTGTGATTTAGTTAACTAATGCGCAGTCTTTTGTATCCTCCGAACACAGGCATCCATAACTCGTACCTCCGAACACAGGCATCCATAACTCGTACCTCGTTCTTCTTTACTTCTTACTCCTTCTTGGAAGAAGGAATTATTGAATGATGTCTGGAACCCTGTGTTCGGAGGATGCTAATCATCACCAACCCTACATTATTGATTTGAAATATCCAAAGTTTTGTATATAAAATGTGTACTTATTTTATCAAACAAAATTGCACTGTGGTCCCTCAATTGGTTATTTTTGGGTTTGAGTTTGAGTAACATTTCCACTGACTCGCATTATTTAATCTATGATAGGACTAAGATGCATTTATTTGCTTTTTGTCCCAAGTGACTTGTTCAATTAAATAGAACATGATCAATGTTTGTGTGAGGTTTAAAGTTCGTTTTTGACACTGTAGGGTAGTGTTAGTAGTACACGAGAGTCGTTCAATAATACTTGATAAAAGTGCCAGTAATGCAGATCGTAGATAATATTTACATCGTTTTCACATCGACACAATGGTTTATGGGTTAGGTCGCATCTTCATCAAAGTTCCTCAGACATGAAAATAGGGTTTGGCAATATGCAAGATGTCGTAATATTGATCCAGGGGTTTTGAGATATCATACATTGCTGCTCCCAACTAAGTTTTAGTTATATAAGATAAATAATATTTTAAGATTAAAGATTGCAGCGTATTCAATCAAGGTACGTCCTTGAAGGCAGACTGTTCAATATAAAATGAACCTTTAAAAACATTAAATATTAGTACATTCATTAAAGTACAGGTTTATTTCAGATTACAATAGAGGAAATTATGTTACTAAAGTTGAAATATCGCCAAGTTGGGGACAATGTCTTGGTTTCTTTTTGTGTTCGCACAATTACAGTATTCATAGGTAACGTTTCTTGCTACAAAACTGATCGAAAGTCGTCATATTTTCGCCAACTCTGACGAGAATTGATATTTCATTTTAACCTTTAACAACTTATATTTGATCAGATTGCTTCTTAATTGTTTTTCTGAATTCACTTTAGCATTGTAAAGAAAACATTGGCATAATCATTGAAATTATTGATACCAACATTTTACACTCTACATGCTTTTCACACGTCCTGTGAATGGAAAATGTACGGAAGCGGCGGGGGGGGGGGGGGGGGTGGTAGGTCTGCTATAAAATTCAACAAATTTGGGAGCTTCATTTTCTCAAGAGAAAGTGTACTATTGAATTGCTAAATTAAAGGCGCACGGTGTGGTTAAATATAGGCCTTCTATGATTTTTGAACCGACACACTTCTAACAGCTATAACCCCCTATCACACCAAACTCGTTCTTACCCGTTCTTGCCAGTCCTACGAAAACGTCGAAAAACGGGCTCAATCTGGCTGTGGTCGGGAAATATGTCTGAAATAATTAGCTTCTTCGTTCTTAAACAGTCTTCAATACGTCCATCTCGTTCGCAGTTCGTTCAGGTCGCACCACGTCGGTGTGCAACGCCGTAGAACGCGTCCCTTAGTCTAGAAGGTCATCATGACCTGATAACAGAACGGTATGGTCGCAATCGAATTTTGAATCGATTCAAAATTCTAAAATCACATTCCCGTCTGAGAACGTTCATAAAGTTCGTAAATAGACCTTAGAAAGTTGCAGCTACGTTCATTCCGTTCGCACATAGTTTAGAACCAGTTTTGAAGAACGCAGTGGCAACTTGTTTGGTGTGATAGCTATATTTTTGCTAACTCGTTCATAAGCAGTGTTAAATACGTTCTTAATCAGTTTAAACCCGTTTGCAATGAGTTCTACCTCGTTCTCAACACGTCCTCAGACAGTTCAACTCGTTGTTAAAACGTCCCTAGTAGGATTGAAGTACGACGGTTCCGTTCGCAGTACGTCTAGCTCGTCGTTAGTACGTTGTCACTCGTTCTAATTGTAGAACGTGACGACCACGAGAACATTTTGAGCATTGTCTAAGTTCTAGAGGACCTACCCGTTCGAGTACGTTCGATGAAGTTTGTAAATAGATCCCAAACGGTTCTTAGTACGTCCAGCCCGTTCGTACACAGTTGAAGCCCGTTTTCGAGAACGTAGTGAGAACTAGTTTGGTGTGATAGTAGGGTTAGATATGCAAGAGATCTATAAAAAAGGGCGCGACGAGAACGTACAAAAGTCAATGTTTCAAGCAACAATAGAAATAAGTTTCGAAGCTAAAAAATAATTGAAAATAATTAGGGGAGCTATGGGAGTAATATGTCTTTAAGGTGAAAGAAATTTATTCGATTCGTGTAATTGAAAAATAATACAAAAGTGGATGTTGCATCTCCGAAGAGGGAAAAATAGTGACATTTGGGGTTATTAGAACTAAAGTCAAGTAACATCTCTTATCATGTCTTAAAGACACATCACCCCCTCCCTCCGTTCAGTCCCCCTCCTTTCAATTTCAGTTATTTTCGATTTTTTTATATAACGTATGGAAACGTATTTTTTAAAGCCAGCAATGACGTTAATTTTGTGATGATAACGTCACTTATGATTATTTATTACAGTCATGTAGACCCCCGTTGGATTCACAGCAAAAACATTGACTTGTGCACGTTGTTGGCGTTGCATGTTTTAAATAGATCTCACACCTTATAACTGTGTCAGTGAAGAAAACAATCATAAAATACCTAACAGATTTCACCATACCTTGCACATATTCATTTAGCGATTCATCCATAAACTTTCTCGTAAAAAATAAATACTGCAGATTTGTTTCAGATTTTCAAGCAGAAATCGGCTACCCTCCGTTCATTTTCCGATCACAGGGCGTGTTTCACTTTCTTCAACTTTCCCAAACGAGGGGACTCTTTGGTCCAAATAGTTTAGTAGGCCTACCCTAGAACAACACACTAAATATAGATAAATCAAGGTGACCTTGAACTTGAATTACACCATCGACAGCGAGGTCTGAAACTAGAAAACAACTGGTAATCTTAAAGCTTCAAGGTGACATATGACCCTATCATGGCGTAGTCATGATCAGGTATGCACGAGGCAGGCGTGGCTGACTGACTGACGTACCAACTTTTTACTGAACTATATTTTCGGACATTCTCTTGACTTGAACTGCATAAATAAGTTAATATATCTCTTTTAGCCCTAACTGGACTATTTAATTTTTGCCTCTCCTGATTTCTGGTTTCGCCTCTGAACCGATGTATAAATAGTTGAGTTCATAAGCATTTGGCACATCGTGTGAGAAACAAATATCTCAAGAAAACAGGAACCCGTTTTACGTTTGCTCAAAATTGATGAACACATGAACACATTGAGATTAGTCATTATACGAGGGGTGATCAATAAGTAATGGACGCTTTTTTACACAGATACCTTTTATAGACCAATCCCTTTGATTTTCTTACCACTGATACATCATTCAATTATCTATCAATTCTGAGGATTTGAAGACAAAATATAAAATACATGTTGATATATCCTTATTTCCGTGAAGGAGGTACAGGTACCCTGGGACCGACATTTACGTCACATATTCAGTTTTCAGCCAGTTTGGCAAATTTCAGTTAGATTTGAACTTTTTATATGCAACAAGTGTTGCGTTGTTTGAAATATTTTGCTGACTGGTAACACATAAACAGAAAGTATTGTGATGTCAGAGTGTTGTGTGGAAGGGGTTTGCAGGTCAATTTGAGAAAGCATTGTGGAAGAAGGGGTTGGTGAGAGAAGGGAACACCCTACTCCATATGGACAATGCACCTGCCCACAGATCTCAAAATGTTCAGTAAACAATATCCCTGGGCCTCAAAATTGAGCCCTTGGCCGATGTACCATATTGACCAGATCTGCTCACATGTGACTTATTTATTTCCATACAACTTATTTCTATAGAGAAAGGACGCAGGTTTATTGACATTGATGAAATAAAACAACCCGTGCAACTGCATCTTGCTACCATGTCAGAGAATGGATTCAGCCTTGTCTCACAATCTTGAATTAAGAGGATAAGGAATTGTGTACATGTAGCACTTGATGGAATCTATGTAGAGGGCGCTGTAGAATGAATGTGGCATGAATACCACATAGTGATGATAAAATATTCAAAATCAACTATGGCATCACAAAATGGGGTAATTCATGACCATAATGGTTTGTTTTGTTCAGCCTGCATTCAACTGTATTGCATGGTAAACAAAAATTCAGAATGTTTGACGGTATGTCGGTCCCGGGGTACCTATACATCCTTCACGGTAATATAGATATATCAAAATATATTACATGTTTTGTTTGCAAATCTTCAGAGTTGATAGATAATTGAATGATGTATCATTGGTAAGAAAATCGAAGGGATTGGTCTATAAAAAGCATCTGTGTAAAAACGCGTCCATTACTTATTGATCACCCCTCGTATAAATAAAGGCTGGGAATACCAAGTGTGAGCCTGAAAAAGACAACCAGGTCATTGGGAATCCCAGTTCACCAAATGATTGTGACTCACTTTTATTGATATCTTTTCTCGATAAAGATGATTGTATCGCTCACCAAGGAGGATTGGCTCCCAGAGTGCAACATCGATATTCTGTCCCATATATGGAGATGTCGTGCTACAAAATGT